TCTTAGGCTAGTTCCTAAAACAGTACAATGATAATCTCACTGGGGAGACTCACTGTTTCTCGGGATTGTTATCAGGATTGCAGTCTGGTTTTGTCTTCAGCTAGTTCCTGGTGCAGGGTCGCTGAACAGGCTAGTCCTGGATTTTTGGTTCTTCTCTTCCTGCTGGGAGAGTCTGGTTTGTTCAGGTTTTTCAATACTATATATGATCCAAAGGTGACTGTCGGTTTACACTTCCAGCAATGAAGTTTTTTCTTTAACCACATTTTCTTAAGCATAAATTGTTAACAATAATTTTTAATCTTGGTCATTTCTACAAGGATAAGGTAAAATCTCAGAGTTTTGGTTTGCATTTCTCTGACGGTTAAAGGATGTTATGTTTCAACATTTTTTAAATGTCTCTCAATCATTTTTAAGCTCATCTGCTGAGCGTTTTCAGTTTAGGTCTGTAACAAATATTTTTATTGGATTAATTTTTAATAACTAATTTCCTGAGTTCTTCATATTTTTGGAATGGATTTATGATAAGTAAAGATCTTTTCCCACTCTAGCCTTGTTATACAAAAGCTTCTCAATTCAGGAGATATAACTTATGGTTTCTCCAAATGTTTATGTCACTGAGGCTGTGTTTGAGATGTGGCAAAGTGTGCTTCAAAAATTTTTTCTCTGTGAGATTCAACATAATTTTTATATGCTAAGGCCTTTGGCTCATTTAAACTTAAGTTTTGTACATGGAGATGGATGTAGATCTATTTTCATTCTTCTACATGTTGGTGTCTAATGAGGCCTAAATCATTAGTTAAAATGCTTCCTTTTTCCATTTTCCTATCTGCAAGGCAGACTTAAAACTTAAGAGGATAGCTTACAAACTTTTAATTAGATATACAATGTTAAAGCCCTAGTTATAATATTCTTATGGGAGACCTTGAGCCGCTAGGTAAAATTCTTACAAAAAAACAGTTTCCAATTGAAAGAAAATAAAGAAAGCTGCCTAAACTCTTAATTTAAAACAGTAGCCTGTCTGATACAAAAGGGCAGGATAAAAGCTGAAAAATGGTTTGACAAAATGGTGACTATGATCAATACTTCTTATACTAAACAATAGATTCATTGATAATTTTAAAATTGATTTTTGGACAATTGTCTTTGCTCAATTCAAAGGCAAAAACAATAATCTTTCCCCGGATCATTGCTACAATTCACACAACTGTATTTTGCTAATGTTATAGCAAAAAATCCCTTAAAGGATTTTATGCTAAATTTTACAAATGGCTCTTCCAATGGAAGAACTGCATATATGGCTAATAAAAAAAAATGTGGAACGTAACAAGGCTCCTTGAAAGCAACTCATAAAAAGTTGCCAACAGATCCTGATGCAAATGGATCTGGCGTGATAACACCAAGCTAACTTTTACTAGGGCAAGGTGGAAAAGCCCTTACAATGCATTATGAAAAAACCCGACCTATATATATTTGGGGTCGAGGATATGTTTATGCTTTTTTCACAGAAAGAAAATAAAAGCTGGATCTGATGTCAGGCTGCAGACGTCCCACAGAGGAGTTCCAGAGGCGACTGGGGAGAGGTCCTTGGTCCAGCCTTTCCTGCCCCCAAGGAGAGGAGTGCCTGATAACAGAACCTGCTACACCACTCTGCAGGGTGTCAATTCTGCCCCTAGAGAGTCCAGGGAGACCCGCCTGAGATAAGTGCCAGGATGTGCTTTGGATAGCTGACTCCAGCTCACCTCACTCAGGAATCCCACCTGCCCTGAAGCACAAATGCTAAACTGCTTCTGCAGTTTGAATTATGGTTTGCTTTGGAGTTAAGGTGCAGACTAAACATCAGACTGTTTTAATCTTTGGAACACAAAACTCATTTTAATTAAAATATTAATGCCTCTTCACTTAAGAAGGGGGAAGATTGGGGGTTCCTGTCACTGTTGCTCAGAGACTGGAACTGGTGGTATTTGATGACAACAATGTATATCATTGTTCTCTTACTGCAATTGATCTAATGATATTTGTAACTGCTTATAGATGTTGGAAAAGGTTTGACACACGCTGTAAAGTGTTTGTGTTTAATGCATATGTTAAAAATTTTAGATTTAGATCCCTTTTACACTGCCCTAATTGTTGGCAGGCAGCACACATAATTTTATGTGGAGTAGGCATTTAGGAAGGAGGATGTACCAAAGGCCAGACTAAAAGGTGAATACTGGGTTTGGAAAACACCCTTTCTTCTTGTCTAGAAGTTGGAGTTATTGTTGCCCAAATTATATCATTATATTTTGTTTGAGGAGCTCCTCACAGCCTTTTCATTAATGATAGACGCAGGGGCCCAATGACAGGAGATATTGTGGACCCTCGCCTGAACAGCACACCATACAGAGGTTGTAGAAACTGGCTCAACATGGGCATGGTACCAGGCACGAGGGGTGCACTCCACATGGCCTAAGACAGGGTGCCCTGTGATCTGCTTACTTTAAATCTCGCTAGATACCTTTTATTTGAGGAGCTCCAAGGATGGGTGACTTGTGGCAGGACATCCCCCAACCTAAGACAGGATTCTGGGAATCCTAGGACGGGTAAGGGGGATAAAGACCTGGTCCCCACTCGACCTAAGAATCATAAGGCACCCCTCTGTTCCCAGGAGAGGTAAATTGCTTCACCATTCAAGAGGAGGGTCTCTCCTTGTCCCAGTCCCTTCTCCTTTGGATCTGACACCATGGTTGGACTCTGACCTGGTGCCCTCAGCTTAATAGCTGCCTGTCTTTATAAAAGAAAGGGGGATCTGTCAGGAGCCAATTTCCTCCTAAAATCATTACAGGAACCATCACCCTGGGGAGTCTGCAGAGAACCCCACACCCCTAATTGTGTTAGGAATCATTCTATTGACAGAGCCTACCCCACACCCAAATTGGCTGTTAATGGAGAGCTTTCTGTTAGCGGAACCCACCCCATATTCCAAACTATCTAGAGAACTAGGTGTGTCATCTCCTAGTTGTGACTTCCTGGCCTATGTGACCAACGAGAACCGTGTGACCAACGTGAACCACGCGGCAAGAGCCCAGGCCCCTGTGCCCACCCCCAACTCCTTACCCTATAAAAGTTGTACCCCATCTCTAATAAACGGAAGCTCTGACAAACCTATCATGGCCTTCTTCCTCTCTCTCAGCTCATATCTTCCAGATAGTGCCTCTCCGGGACCCTGGAATAACTGAACTGCCAGGCGGGTTACAAACCCCTAGACTAAGTAACCCGCCAAGGCGATCAACATGTGTGAATGCTGAATGTGGAGGGGGAGTTGATAAATCACACCCAGGTAAAGTTACAGGCTAGAAGACTGTTGGTGGGCTACAGAGCTACAGGTGTGTGTGTGTGTACACGTGCTGTGGTGTATGTGTGGAGGCCAGAGGACAGCCTCTGATACAGAGTTTTCACCTTCCACTGTGTTTAAAACAGGGTCTTTTGTGGGCTTTCTTCTGTTTACAATTTTTAGATAGCCTGGATTAGAACTACAGGTTTATATGGGTCTTGGGAATGGATTTGAACTCATGTCCCCGCACCTGTACGCCAGTGTTTTACTCACTGAGCCGTTTTCTGTTCCTGAGTTAGACTTTTTTTTTCTTTGCAAGGATTCCCCAAATAATAAATGATACTCCCACTGGCAGGAGATAATGGGACCTAGTGGCCTATCAATTGCTACTGTGATCTTAGTAAATTTCTTTGTGCCTCAGTGTCTAGTCTGTTAATAGTCATTAATAGTCATTCCTTTCTCCCAGTTTTGGGAAATTTAAATGAACTGATGCAGAGAATACACCTAGGAGGTAGAAAGTGCCGGAAGCTCTGTAAATTGGGGTCAAGGTACTTCTGCATTTTCTCAATGAAGACAGGGAACACGCGCATTTTGCACATAGAGAATCAGAGGGCTTTGGGAGGTTAATAAAGGTTCCTAGTGAAGAGGGTATTCTAAGTGTAGGGGTGTGGGATTCGAACCTACGCTAGAATTCCCAAACCTGGGCTTGGTCCACCATAATATGACATAGCTGCCAACCAGCGAGGTAAACTTAAGGCTGTCCCATCACCCGGCGCCCCTCCCAAGCGGGCCTCGCGGCTGCGTGGGACCACAGCTGCCCGCCAGGTGCGTGGGTGCCTCGCGCCGCCCGTTACCGGCTCGCTGCGCCCCGCTCGGGCTGCAGGGACGCCGAGCGCGCCTGCCCCTCCGCCCGCGCTGCTGCTCCCACGCCGACTCCGAGAGCAACCCGGGCGGCACCCTGCGCTCGCTGCGGCCAAACCCACGGCCGCCTTTGTGACGCGCCGCCACCCACTGGCTCTGTTAGAGCCTGCCAATCTCTGCTCCCAAAGTCTGGGTCCCAAACTCGGAGTTGCCAGAGCCACTGCTGGCGAGGGAAGAGGGCGGTGAGGGCGCAACTCAGACCCATCTGGAAAGCGCTAGGCGAAAGCAGGAAACTGGAGGTAGGCGCATCTTGTGGGGCTCGCCAGGTGCCCTGCTCTTATCTCTTCTAGCATCAGCGAAGAGGTCTGTCCCAACTTGTTGCTCAGGGTCGTTCTCCCCAATTTCCCTCCCTCCGGAAGCTTTGGGCTTCCATTCCTGTCCTCAGATGAGGATTCCTCCTACCCCCACCTTAGCCGTGGGCTTCCACTCTCCTATCCTCAGATGAGGTAACCCCTCACCCCGAAAAGGTGGGCTTCAAATTGAGTCAGCAAGCAGATCTGACTTGAACCTAACAAAGCCTCAGCTTAGTTCCGTTTCCCATCTTCCCCAAGGTGGCGCACACCTAACCCCACCCACCTTGCTTGGTGAGTAACCTTTTTGCTGAAGCTCAGGGCTGCAAGTTGACTATTCTGTCTGTCCCCAGTGAAGCTGTCACTTATCCCTTATTTTACTGCTAAAGGCTTCATCTGCACACCTCCCTCCCCACCCTACCACCCCCTTCACTTTGTCGCCCCCCCCCCAAAGTGAAAGACACACCGCTCACTTCAAAGGAGATGAAGAAATAGTTTATTTTGGAGCCAAATATGAGTGATCATGCCCCAGAAATTTTCTGAAGCCCAATCACTAAAGCCTGTCTCTTTTCCTAAATAAAGGCCACCCAAAGTGCTGAGAGTGACATTGCATACCCTGCCCTGAACTAGAATGAGACACCGTCACCCCTCCAAGGCCCAGGGGACATTGTGGAAGATGGGGCAGAAAGCTTATGAGAGCCTGGGGATTAGGGACTGGGTAGAACGCTATAAAATGTGTTCTTCTGCATCTAGCATTTCCATGGCTGTTGCAAACATGGGCACACGTCAGCTGTGGTGACCTGCGTAAGACCTGCATATGCATGTGTGTGCTAGCATGTGCATGCACGCATGCAAACACGCACGCACACAGTAGGAAGGGAGCTGCTGGGAAGAAGAGGGTTCACAGGAGTGGGGTGGGGATGAGGAAAGGCAATGGGATAAGTATGCTTACAAGACCTTTGTAAACATATGAAACTGTCAAGAATTAAAGGAAAAAAAATCAATTACAGAGATTGGTAAAGAAAACAAAGTTGCGACCATCACGCAAGGAAGCAGGGAAGCCAGGGGAAACTGGAAATCTTCTGAGTCATAGGGTCTCTTTCTTCCAGAGCTAGCTGCTCCTCCTCAATTGTTTTTCTTTTGATGAGCTAACCTCAGGCACTTCTCCTAAAGAAATGAAAATAGATGTTAAAAAGTTTCAAGTGGGAGACAAGTTGCTGAGTATGGACTGGCTTTTCTGTTGTTTCTCCTCACCCGCTGGGGCTACCCAAACCTGCACGCTACCAGCTACATCTTAGTCCCTCAAATGCTGCTGGTCTCTGGGTGTTCCTGTCCCTTGTTCCAACGCTTGCATGACTGAGATTGGGATGAGACTGCATCGAAAAGACTTGGGGTAGTGGTTAATGAAGGAGCAGGCATCATGGACGAACAGGAAGAGGTACATGTAGGGTTTCTGTGTAACCACTGAAATCAGTGAGCCACATTGTTTTCTTGGTTAGCACTAAGTCCTAGTACTGAGGTATAGAAGAAAGTGTATAGCAACACTCCCAAATACTCATGTTTGCATATGGGTATATCACAGGGCTTTTGAGTAACATACTCATTAACTTTCGGTTGCTGTGTGAGAGACAATGATGCTCCCTCCATAACAATCATCTTATGGGGGGCGGGGACAGGACAGGAAAGTACTGAAACAGAAGCAGTTTTAGGGCTCTGCAAAGTCTTGAGAGAAAAGGTGAAAACGGCTAGCGGTCTCTTTGGTGCAGAGCAGTGGTTTTTATAGTTCCCAGGTGTGCAAAATTCCTGCCCACCTTTCCCACAGGTTGATTCTTCAGTTAGATTTTTCAGTGTAGCTCCCCAACCCCAGGGGTGGTGATTGAGATCTGCTTCTGTCTCCTATGGGGGCTCAGTCAGGTAGCAGGTAACTTAAACACATAAAGAAGGAGCCCCCAGGAACATGGGTGTCAGTTGCTGGCCAGAGAAGGCACGGGGCCTCCTGCTTCCTCGCAACTCCGTGGTGAGCTCTAAATGCATTTTCATTCTGAAATGCATTTTTCATACTAAAAATGGACCATAATGGTTGATTTCTTACAATTTCTCAGAACATGCTTAAATTAAAATTTTATTCCTTTGAAATTCAAATTTGATTGGGCATAACGTATTTCTACTTGCTGTGTCTGGCAAGGATGGAGAAAGTATGGAAGGAAATACCCCACTACAGATGAAATTAGTTCATTTTTTATAAAATTTACACATGCATAAATAAATTAGAAAAAAACCCCTTTCTGAAGGACTGCTCATCTTATAAAGTAATAAAAGCAAATGGCAGAGTAATAAATATACTAAGATAACACACGGTCGACAGACAATTCAACCCTGTGGCACGCGGTAGAGAAGATAAGGCTTTGAAAGGACACCTGCAGGCTGCTGAAATTGCTTCCTCAGCGATGTGACTGGGGACATGGAGCAGGTGGGGAGATTTAGCTTGTGTGTGTATGTGTGATGCTGAGGAATAAATCCAAGGCCTTAAGCATGGTGAACAAACGTTTTATCACTAAACTGTATACCTAGTCCGCTCTCCCCCATTCTATTATCTATCTGTCTGTCTGTCTGTCTATCATCTATCTATCTATCTATCTATCTATCATCATCAACATAGGATCTCACTATATAACTTAGTTGACCTTGAACTCACCATGTAGTCTGGGCTATCCTCAGACTCAGGGTCCCTCTGTCTCAGCCTTCCTTTATTAAAAAACTGTGTGTGGCGTTTGCATGTATGTGCAGATATGTGTGTGAGGGTCTTTGATATCTTCTTAATTGTGTCTCTGCTTTGTTTTGGGCCAGGGTCTTTCACTGAACCTCAAAGTCACAATTTCAGCTAGACTGTCTGGCCAGTGAGTGCCTGGGACCCACCTGTCTCTGTTCCCCTGGCACAGAGGCTTCAGGCATGAGTCACTGTGCCTGGCCTTTGCATAGATTCTGCAGATTTGAACTCACATCCTCATGTTTGCCCAGCGAGCTCTTTAACCATCAAGCTACCGCCTCAGCGATAATGGTCTCAGCTTCCCTCAGTGCTACGATTACAGGAATTCACCACTAACCCTGACTGACTGCTGGTTAGTTTTTTCTTAACTTGACAGAGCCTAGGGTCATCTGAAAAGTGAGACCTTGATTGATAAAATGCCACCATCACATTGGCCTGTAACAAATCTGTGGGCTCTTTTCTTGATTAATAATTGTGATGGGAGGTTCCCAGTTCATTTTGGGTAGTGCCACCCCTGGGTTGGTGGTCATGGGCGCTTTAAGAAAGGAGGCTGAGCAAGCTTTGAAGGGAGCAAGCCAGCAAGCAGCATTCCTTCATGGCCTCTGCATCCATTCCGGCCTTCAAGCTCCTGCCCCGACCTCCCTGGATGATGGACTACAAGCAGTAAGGTGAAATAACCCCTTCCCTCTCCAAACTGATTTTGGTCATAGTGTTTTGTCGCAGCAAACGATGACACTGAGGTAGTTTGAAAACTAGCTTTTGGTTGACATTACCAAATAATGTCTATTATAACAAAATTCAGGCTTTCTAAAAGACAGGTTCTCTTTATGTAGTCCTGGCTATCTAAGAATTCTCTATGCAGAGCAGGATGGCATGGAACTCACAGAAATCCACCTGCCTCTGCCTCCTATGTGCTAGGGTTTAATATTTGTGCTTTTTAAAGTGGCAAACAACCGAGTCTCTAGCCAAGAACTTAAGAGCGTGCACTTTGGAGCCTTACATTGTAAAGTCCCCCAAGTGGTTCTGCATCCCCCCAGTTTCCTCATCTGTAGAATAAGGGTAAAGCAGCCTGTACTGCCTATAAGGAAGGTCAGCCATGGCCGAGCACTGCAACACTTGTTACATATTGTAACAATTGTAACATACGCAATGGTTGACCTACTTCTAATGGCAACTCGCATTATTACAAGAAATAGTCTTGGGGGCCCAGAAGGTGGCTCAGTGGGTGGAAACGCTTGCTAAACCTAGCCACAACTGGAACTCTTAGAGGTGCAGGAGATAAGAACTGACCCCACAGAGTTGTCCTCTGACCTCTGCATGCTTACTAGTGTGGCCCTCCTCCTAATAACAATAAAATTGAAAGAACAAAGCTTTCTTTAAAAAGATGATGGTCTGGGGTGGGGAACTCAGGATGAGGGAGCCGGCTATAAACCTGGGTGTGCTGGAGGCAAGCCACCAGCTGCCTTCACATCTGGAGCCAGACTCTTCTGCTCTCGGGCCTAAGCTGCTTTTCTCCACCTGGAAAGAGCTCACTGACAGCCCTCAGTTTGGCTCATTCACTCCAGGCCTTGGGGTGTTGCCCTGTGGCTGGGACTGGTACAGTTGCTGACATAGAGAGGAGAGATCTAGTTGTACCCTCAAAGGTGACCCAGTGACTGGGAAGTGACACAAACCAGGTAGCAAGGGCTGGAGAGAATGTGGCTGGGCACGCAGAAGCAGGAGGAAGCATGGGAGGAGCTGTCCGGCCACCACACTGATACATCATCCCTCCACCCTCCACCCCTCCACATCCCCCATCACCCTCCCCCCAGGCTGGGTAAGATGAGGTGAGGAGGCCACAGGGTTGAGGGGAGAGCAAGGTACCTGGTGCAGATTTAGGATGGGCAAGGGCAGTAAGATGCCACACTGACGGCACCTCCGTAGGATGTCATAGGCTGCTGCTTCATCGCCCGTAGGAAGAGCAGCCCTCTGCTGCACTGCAGACTTCAAAGGCAGATCCACGGTGCCATTTTGGTCCTTTGTTTTTTGCTTTCTTGCACTGTTTCTAGTTTTTGTCTTTGGGCGAACATCTTTCTTCGCTGAGGATGTTTGATTTCCAGTCACCTGACTCGTAAGGGACGGAGGAAGGATTTTTGGCTTTCCATCCTGAAGATATGTCACAGTCTTTGAGGCGGGGCATTGTTTCTGCAAATGTGAGTGATGTGTGAGCTATAAAAAGTGACCTCACCTGTAATAACTAGTTGGGCAATACTGCTGAGATAACCTGAAAGGTTCTCCCTATAAACACTTAGAAATGCTGGAGAAGGGGCAGTAACGTGGCCCTGTGAGTAAGAGTGTTTGCCGTCGAGCTGGAAGACCTGAGTCTGATTCCTGGAGCTCACGTAGCAGAGCAAAGGAACCTCTCTCCACAAGACCTTCACTCAGCAAATACACACATGCATGCACACATGCACACATGCATGCATGCACGCAGGCACACACACACGTCAGTAAATGTAAAAAGATTTCATGCTGAATAATACAAGGCAGACATTCAATGTTATAGCTGACTTTGTTAAAAGAAAGAAGACTCAGGTTGCAAAGATGGAGGTCTGAACGTGTCCCTCTAGAATCCAGGCTTGGGGGACAGGAGAAATGGCTCAGACATAAAGGGGACTGGCTGCTTTCGTAGAGAACGCAGGATGGTTGGTTCTCAGTACTCATATCAGGCAACTCACAATCATCTCTAACTTCAGTTTTAGGGATACGATACCTTCTGGCCTCCACACACACTGCACGCATATGGTATATATTGTACACATACAGACAAGCAGGCACACACACACACACACACGTATATAGAAATTCGTCATGATGGCACATGCTGTTATTCCCAGCACTCGGGAGATAGAGGCAGGCAGATTTCTGTGAAGTCAAAGCTAGCCTAGTCTACATACTGAGTTTCTGGACAGCCAGAGCTATGTTGAGAAACCTTGTCTTCCCTGGTCCCTAAAAAATAAATTAAAATCCAAATGTTACACATATGGTCATAGGGGGCTGCACTTTCAGGAGGTGAAGGTCATAAAGCCCCCTCCCACACGAATGGAACTGTAAAAGAGGCTTCAAACAGCCTAGCTAACTGCTAGCTTGCTCTTCTGCCTCTGCATTCAAGGCAGCAGCAAGGCCCTCCCTGGACGCCAAATACCTACACTCTGATCTTGGATTTTAAGGCTCTGGAACTCAGAGCTCTGCCTGCCTCTGCCTCCCGAGTGCTGGGGTATTCTATTTTTCTTAAGAAAGAGAATTTCCTCTCTGTTCCGGGGGGCGGGGTAGGAGGGAGGAGACGAGTGCCTGGGAGAGAAGCTGTGGGGTGGCTCTATAAGACAAGAGGTCGCTTGGCTCAACAACGCACTAAAAGGCATTTAAGGCTATGGAGGGCTAAGTCAGGCAGTACTCTTCCGTAAAAGCAACCAGCCAATCAGCTGCACCATCGGACATCTTCGGAGTCCCCTTTTTATACTCAGTATGCTGTCAGAAACTATGGAAAGATGGGAAGGCCCCTTTAGTCACATAGGGGAGTTCACGGCTAAATAACACATGGGCAGAAAGTCTAAAAGTTCAGGGCCCATAGAGGACTCATTGCAGAGTCTAGGCCCTGAAGGTTGGTGACTGCCAGAGGTGACCAAGGCCATCAGGAATTGTCAGGGCTGCTGCTTGACAAGCTAGGCACAAATAAAAACCAACTATGCCTGCTAAACTTGCCTAAAGAGAACCTTGGGACATAGCGAAACAAAACTAAGTGAAACCACAGACGTTAGACCCTTTGATAACTGAGCCGCGCAAACCCGGAACTGCGTTGCACACTTTGCTTTCTGGAGCATGCACTGGCTGCTGGACAACTGCTACTCACCATATGGGAGACATACTTATTTTCTGGAATCATCTGTTTGCAGGAATCACACTGGGTTCTTCCAGGAGATACATTTCCCTTCCCTGAGTGAACACAGAAACACCACAAATAACTGTTCTTGACCACGGCGGGCCCACCTCTCCCCTGGATGCTCCCATGGCCTGTGTTCATGAGTGTTAGCCATGCCTAGACTAGCCTGGTCTTGAGTTCCTTACCCCCCAGCACCCACACGGGAGAGGACTGGCTGGACAGCCATTTTTATCACAATGACACTGATGAAGAGCCCTTGGTTAGCTCATGAACTGGAACGTTTGGTTCTTAGCTACTAATGCTGTTTTGGCAAGTTGTGGCACCTTTATGGGTAGAGTCTCACTGGAAGAAGTGGGGTGCTGGGTGCAGGCCTTGAGGTTTCTTAGCCCATCTCCAAGTCTTTGTTCCCTTCTGTTTCCCACTGTGGGTTCAGAGTGACAGGTGCGGTGCCCACCGCTCCTGCCGCCATGTCTTAACAAGACTGTTATTTCTCAAACTGTAAGCCTCAGTAAACCCTTTCTCCCTTAAGCTGCTTCTTACCATTTTTTTTTAAAAAAACACATAATGGTAAAAATAGGCACTACACTCTGGTGGAAAAGGAGGAGCCAGACTTGGTGCTGGACGTGGAAAAGTCCAGTCTTATTTTTTCCTCCCGATCTCTTTGTGTATTTTTCATCTATAGGATGATTTGGGTAGCCCTTACCAGGCTAAGATTGTCTTTGGCATTTAAAGAAAGCCCTTCATATTTAGAATTCCCCATGGCTTTCTCTTCTTCTCTGTGGCTCTTACACCCCACCCCTTGCCTCTAGTTTTCCCGGGATAAGTCATTGTGTGCAGACACACAAGAAGGCTACTCCAGTTTAATGGAAACATACAGAATGGATTCTCTTCTCTCCTGTGCTGTTAAGGGTCCCTGTCATTGCATCCTGCCCAGGAGAGCTTCTGGCCCTGGAAACTATCCCTTCCCTCTCCAGCTTCTCCCTGATACTCACCTTCCTCAGGCTTGGCCTTTGCACGCAGACACACAGCTTTGTGCTGGGCCAGCACTCGGAGAACGATGGGCTGGTTGCAGTGTGGACAGCGCTCCGTCCGGCTGCCGCAATGGAACTCGTGGACATCCAGCTTGTTGAAGTGCACTGCCAGGTCACAGAACTTGCACTGGCCAGGGTGCTGCTGGATTTTCTTGGCCTGTGGAAAGATGGAGGACATGGGCCCAACTCCCTAGGAAACTGAAGTCAATCAGAGAAAGTGCTGGCAAGGGTCAGAGGCAGAGGTTGTCCTTGGGGATCGTGAAGTCTCTAGTTTGCTTTCTGTTGCTCTGAGAAAGCAACTTGGAGAGAAAAGGGGTCATTTCATCTTACGCTTCCACATCACAACCTATCATCCAGGGAAGCTGGGGCAGGAACTCAAAGAAAGAACCTGGAGGCAGGAATCGAAGCAGAGACCATGGAGGAGTGCTCCTTACTGGCTTGCTCTGATTTGCTCTCTTTACAACCCAGAACCTCTTGCCAAGGAGTGGTACTGCCCACAGTGGGCTGGGATTTCTCATATCAATCATAAGGAAAATGCCCGTCGACACCCCCACAGATCAATATGATGGAATTCTTCAACTGAGGTTCTGTCTTCCCATGAGACCAGAACCCGTGTCAAGTGGACAAAAGTTAAGCCACACACGCATGGATTGTGGAGATCTCCACATCAAGCATGTATGTGGGGTTGGAGGAATTTGAATCTCTGGGGTGGAATGATCTCCACAGTTCTGGCTGCTCAGGTGGGAGAGGCAGTAATCAGGGCTAGGGGAATCTTTATGACTGGTCTCTCCTCCCCTCTCTGCCTCTTTCTCTCTGGTTAGCCTGCTTGCACATAGAGGAAAAAAATCAACTTCAGCAGGGGAGGGCTTGCACGTGCTGGTGACATAAGACGGGCCACCCAAACTGTGCTGGCTGGTTTTATGTCAACTTGATGCGCGATAGAGTTATCTGAAAGGAGGCGGTCTCAACTGAGAAAATGCTTCCAAAAGATCTGGCTGTTGGACATGTTTTTAGTGATTGATGGGGGGAGTGTCCCTGCCATTGTGGGTAGTGCCATCCTTGAGCTGGTGGTCCAGAGTTCTAGAAGAAAGCAGGCTGAGCAAGTCATGGGAAGCAAGACCGTAAGTGGCACCCCTCCATGGTCTTTGCTTCAGCTCCTCCAGGCTCCTGCCACGCTTGAGTTCCTGTCCCGATTTCCTTAAGCCAAATAAACCTTTTCCTCTCCAAGTTGCTTTGATCATGGAGTTTTATCAAAGCAGTAACTCTACCTAGGATACAAACACATGAACACAGAGATGTGGGTTCCAGTCCAAGCCCCTGGCCTCTCCTTACACAGGCTAACCATGTTTCCCATTTGAGTCCATGAGATCCTAGAGGAGGGAGACCAGATCCAGAATGGCGACCTCAGTGTTCCTCCAGCACCTAGTCTAGAGCTCAGAGGTGTTTGTAGGATCAGCTTGAATCTAAATGCCTGAGCTTGATCCTCAGGAAGATAAAGCGCAAGAGAGACTGACTCAGAAAGGCAGGGAAGAAAACTGGGGTGGGGCCATCTGCCTCCTCCTTACAAGTTTCTTTTTTCTTTTTCTTTTTGGTTTTTCAAGACAGGGTTTCTCTGTAGCTTTGGTTGTCTGTCCCGGAACTAGCTCTTGTAGACCAGGCTGGCCTCGAACTCACAGAGATCCGCCTGCCTCTGCCTCCCGAGTGCTGGGATTAAAGGCATGCGCCACCACCGCCCGGCCTCCTTACAAGTTTTTAAAGAATGTTTAGCTTTTTAAAAAACGGATCCCTTGCCTTGCCAGACTCATAGTCCCGCAGCAGAGAAGTAGAAAGGGAAAAACAGCACAGCTTCAATGTAGCACACACACACACACACACACACACACACACACACACACAAAAAATCCCCAAAACAAAAAACCTTTCCCCAAACTGGTGGTGCTAAATGAGTTACCCACAGGGCCAGGGAGGACTGGATTTCAGCTACTGACCCCCAAAACTCTGTCCTGATTGCCACCTGCTCACCTGTTGGTGCACAGTGTCCACATGCTCCTTCATCTTTGACCGTGGGACGGGTTCCTCACATTCTGGGCAAACGACCAGGAAGCTCAGGCAGTGGGCCCCGTGGAGGGTGCAGTGGGCAGAGGCCACATTTCTTTTGCTTCAGGATAAAGTGGGGGAGAAAGAAAGGCTCATTGTCTTAGCAGAAAGCAGGAGGCCTTGCTGCATACCTAGGGCACGCTCTTCCCAGGCCTGCAGCAGTGACACCGGCGATGCCCTCCTGCCTTGCTTGTGCTGCTGAAAAAGCAGAAAAATTCGCCGTCATAAAATAAGTATGAGGGCAGTCTACGGAAGTACCCCGCTGCCCAGGAGAGTGGGTGGGGAAAGAGTGGTAGGAAGGTGTTACCAGGGCAACAGGGTAGCAGGAAAACTTTCGAGAGTGCTGATAGGTTTATTTCCTAGGTTGTGGGATGCTTTCACAGATAAGTAACGTATGTCAAAGTGTCTACTTTAAACATGGACAAGTCAGTTGGGCCTGTTGACACAGGTTTGCACTACCAGCTGTTCATGAGACTGAGACAGGAGGATGGCTAGTTCCAGGCCTACCTAAGCTATAGGGTGAGTTCAAGATCAGCCTGGACAACTTAGTGAGACCCTTAAAATGTAAAGTAAAAATAGAGCTGGGGAGTTATAACTCGGTAGAGTGACTGGCTACTCTGCAATACCCTAGGCTCAGTGTCCAGTGCTTCCCCCACCTCCACAGAGCTGGGGAGGGAGGAAGGTACAGCTTATCCGTTTCCAGTTATCTCTCAGTAAAGCCATCTCATGGCAACAAAATAACCAACACAACAGTCGGCATGGCAGCCCTGCAGTGCTAGCACTTCCTACACCAGTGGACAACTTTTAGAATCTCAAAAGGTTTCCCAGCCCTTTATGAGCGAAAGTCCCCTCAGCTGTCTCCTGTCCCTGGGCTCTCCTGAATCTACCCAGACAGGGGCTGAGACCCCAGAGACTCTGCCAGAGCAGGGAGTTCTCTGATAAGTTAATCACCAGAAATGCTGAATCTTTCACCCACTTACCTGAGCAGCTGAGGAGAAAGGAAACTGGAACTACATCCCTAAAAGGCCAGGCAGATGCCCCAGGGCCTGAGCACTTGGGTCATGGCCACAGAGGGACTGGAAAACCTCACTGCTGTCAGCCTGATCAAGCGGTCCCCATGGCTGCACAGGGTGACATTCCCTTGCTCGGCTGGCCCTCTCTGTTCTGCCTGCCTACAAACTCAGCACTTCTCCCAGAGTCTTGGAGATCCTGAGGAGGCTTAACCCAGTTACTGCAACAGGAGGGTTCTGCTGGGAGACAGGCTCCCTGTACGTGGAGGTGTGGTTATTATTACTCTCTGCTCTGTCCTGCATGTTCTCCTTTGTCGGGTGGATGGAGGGAATAACCCCAAAGTTCCTTTCAAGGTCCCTCTCACAGATGCTGCCAGGGCCCCCACACTGGGATCTAAGCTCCAACAGGTATGAATACCCTGTTAGGGACAAGTCCCTGGCTACTTAACTTCATGGCTGACCTGCCAGCCTGAAACACCGTGCTGAGGGCGTGTAGTGACACTGAGGTACCACTGACCGCTCTATGCAGAGATCTAGTTTTGGGCTCCTCACCCCAGGGGTCCCAGTCCCTCTGGCTTTCTGTCTGGTGTGCCCCTCATCCCCTTCCCTTCAGAAACAGCTTTCTCTGCTTTGCCCCTCTCCCTGGCCTGCCCTGGAGAAAGTGTTTCCTTACCAGTTCTGGCACACCTGGGAGTCAGCCTCCATAGTCAGCTCCTCCGGGAGGATTCCTGTGAAGTTTCCTCTTCTGCACACAAGGAAACAAAACTGAAAGTGTTTCTTCAGTCTGGCTCACAGCGGCAGGGAGGAGGGGACTTTCACAATTCTCCGCTTAGGGCTTAGGGTGGTTCCCGGGTCCCTGCAGCTGGACACTCCCAGAAGGCCACTCTGCAGCATGCCCTGCCATGTCCCCCAATCTGTGCTGTCCCTGAGCTACTGTTACTGTGACCTCCAGGGTGGGGGTCACCGGGCAGGTCTCCTCTGGGTTGTACAATGGCTCCTTCCTCCCTCCCTCCCCCTTCCTCTCTGACTGGTTTCATTCCATCTGGGTCCCCACCCCTTTCTCAACCTGTGACACCACTCCTCCTCTCTGCCTCTGTCTGGTCCTGTCCTCCCGGTGGTGTTAAACTTGAGTCTGCATCCTGAAGAAGCAGCCCCTGCACCCGCACCCTGCTTGGGCTCCAGTTTGTGGTGACTGAAAACAAGGTCTGTGAGGAACTGGGTGGGGGTGGGTGGGTGGTGCAGGGTGCTGGCTGCTCAGCCGAGAAGCTTTGGGGCAAGTGTTAGGAGTGGCCATGGATAACTCCTGAGTTTGTCCTCCTCTGCAAAAAACAGTGATGGCAAACACTAACATAAGCCCAAGGTGACAGGCACTACAAGGAGACCTTGTCATCCTATCCTTAAATGGCAAAACTGACGTCCAAGGGACTGAATAACCTGCACAAGTTCCCAGACCACGTGACCCAAGGTGTGAGTCCTCTGCCATTGCTGCAGTGCTGGGGATCTGCACTCAGATCCGGGTCATCTCAGTCTCCCGGAAGCTGTTTCCTGGCTGACTTGGTTACACTGGGGCTCCCAGGGGACTTAGGGTCCAGGTGTTCCTAGAAGTTGCATGCGAAATCGCTGTCATGTCAGGATATGTTTGCTCTCAAGGAGGGACCCACAGCCCCAGGGAGTTGGCTGACAAGACTAGCTAACCTCATGTCTTTGAATCTTTGGAGCTCAAAGAAACCAAATTCTGTTAAAGGCAATCCATGTCCAATTATTATATGGCATAATGGAATCAAATGGATACAGAACAGTTGCTGGTTTCTTGTGTTTGTTTTCTCTTTTCCACCTGCAGGAAGAAGCAAGGCATCGTTAATTAAATGAATAAAGATGATAAAAGGGGTTTGGGGAGGGATAGATAGTGGTATGGCACTTGCCTAGAATGTTTGAGGCTTTGGGGTTGGTCTATTACACACACACATACACAAAATAGTATATCTCCGTGACAACTGATACATTCACAAATACAGCCATGCACCAAATATTGACATTTCTGACAACAGTGGAACTGTCTGTGAGACAGTAGCCACATAAGACTACAGCGAGCTGAAGAAGTCCTGTCGCCCAGTGATGAAGCAGCTTTTGAATGTCACAGCAGTGAGACACTTGTGTTTGTGCTGACCTTGGCGTGAATGTAGGGTGAAAGAAGGTGTGTGGATATGGCCAAGTTGCATTATATACATGTATTAAAATGCTAAATAAACAATAAACAAAAAAACATCGCACACGCTGGGATGGCTCACGCCTTTAATCCCAGCACTCGGGAGGCAGAGGCAGGCAGATCTCTGTGAGTTCGAGGCCAGCCTGGTCTACAAGAACTAGTTCCAGGACAGGCTCCAAAGCTACAGAGAAACCCTGTCTCTATAGAACACAAAATTATATACAGGGCAGTTTCAGTGGGTAAAGCATCTGCCACTAAACCGGACACCCTGAGTTCAATCCCCGGGACCTACATGGTGGGAGGAGAGACCAACTCCCATGAGTTGTTCTCTGACCTCCACAGGCACAAAATAAATGTTTTAAATATTATGCATAGTATTTGATAATCACAACAGACAGCTTTATCACTGGTTTGAGAAGTTACTATACTTCCTATTATCATTATAGAATATATTCTCCTTACCTATAAGCAAACTGTTTAGGGCTGGGCAAATAGCTCAGTAGTACACCACTTGCTTAGCATACACAAGGCCCTAGGTTCCATCCTTAGTATGTTTAAAAGAGAAAAAATAAACAAGAAATCACAATGTTTACTACTGACATTAAAAACAATGACAATTCAGAAAGAAGAATTGGTTTGTTCTGAACCAGCTTGAATTACCTACCACACCTTAGAAGTATAAACAAATTGACACCCCAGTTCCCCAAGAACAAGGTTCTCCAAGAACATGTACTACCCTTTTATTGTGTTTGTTATTTTGTTTCTTGAAACAGGGTTTCTCTGTGTAGTTTTGGAGTTCTCTCTGTAGACTTGAACTCACAGAGATCTGCCTGCCTCTGCCTCCCTGATGCTGGGATTAAAAGTGTGCGCCACCACCACCCAGTTGTATTCCCCTTTGAAGGTGATGGTGTCTGCTGCAGACTGTTTGTGTTTGAATACTCGTCCCCCAGCTATCAAATTGTTTGAGAAACTTGTGACACCTTCAGGGAGCGGTGCCTGCCTAGAGGAAACAGGTCAATGAGGGGTGGTTCTTGAAGGGCATAGGCCAGCCCTGCTTCCTGTCTGACCACTTTCTGTTCTTGGCTCTATGTTGCATGGTCACTGCCGTCTCTCCACACCATGACAGATTAATGTTCCTTTGTATGAGTTACTTTCTCCATGTGACAAAATACTTGACAATTTTAAAGAGGAAATGAGAGTTTGGGCTCACAGTTTGAGGGTCCAGTCCATCAGAGTGGTTAAGGATGGTGGCAGGGGCATGAGCTGCTGGTCACATCTTCCGCCTCAGTCAGTCCTCTAGAAACACCCTCACAAAGCCCAAGGTTCATTTGCTAGGTGACTCTAAATCCAGTCACAAAGGCAAGGTAACCATTCTGCCCTTCAAACTGGGGGCCAGCAGAAGCCCTTCCTCCCTTACGTCACGTTTCACAGGTATGTGTCACACCGAGGAAAGAATCCAGCTCTCTGTGGTCCCGTTAGGAGCTGCTTACAAAAACCTGTCACAGTGGACAAACCTGTCACAGATCCACATGGTGATTAAATCAGGAAAGACATCCCTAGCAGGCTTCGGTTGCTGCCTCAACATCAGCCTTAAGGTTTGAGAGCCTAGAGAGGCTGTTAACCTGCCGTACATTGTATGATTTGGTTCAGTAGCCACAAAACCTGTAGTTAACAGAAGTCAGTGCTAACTGGCTGCCAAAGGGGCCTGGAACAGAACAGCCCAGCCCAACCTGGGCATCGCGACTCCTGGTAACTTCAGTATCATCAAAGTCACAATGTGACTGTGATCCTGGGCTATCAGGAGGTGTTCCAAAGAGACACTGTGACCCTCCCTTCAGCCATAACACTGTCATCAAAATTAGAGTGCTTGAAGTTGACCCTCAAGGAAAGTTGTGAAAGGCTTCAACATACACCTATTTATTATAGGAAGGGACCTAGGGACAAAGACGCTGAGGGGAGTTTCCATCTCAGGACACACCCCGAAGGCTTGCTCTTTAAAAATGGAGGAATTGTTAAGACCCCATTTTTCTTGGCTCAGACATAATAAAAATACTCTCTGTAATGGAGAATGGAGGCAGCTTGGAACCCAGGTGCCCTCCTTCCCGGGAAAACACAGTACTGTGCTTAAATTTACATGGGTTCTAGACTTTGTCTCCTGGCTTTCTGTAAGTTATAAGGCAGCCTCAGACACGGAACAGGATTAGACTTCTCAGTTCTTATTGACCAAACTGTGAAAAAAATCCAGATTCTTCTACTAATTTATGTCAATTTTTTTAAAAGTCAGGGTCTCTTGTAGCCCGGACAGACCTCAAACATGCTCTAGGCCTTGAACTCCTGATCCTCTGTTGATTGCCTTTGGGTGGGCTACTCAGTCTAGGGGTTGTAACCCACCCTGCAATCAGTTATTCCAGGGTCACGAAGAGGCACCACCTGGAAGATAATGGGCTAGGAAAGTGGAAGGAGGCTAAGCGAGAATTCTTGTCAAAGCCTCAGTTTATTAGAGACGGGGTACAACTTTTATAGGGTAAAGAGTTGGGGGTTGGGCACAGGGGCCTGGGCTCTTGCCGCGTGGTTCACGTTGGTCACATAGGCAGGAGGTTGTCTTCGGTCAGGTCACTGTAGGCCAAGAAGTCGCGAGTTGACACACCTAGATCCCTAGATAGTTTGGAATGTGGGGTGGGTTCCGCTAACAGATAGCTCTCATTAAAAGCCAATTTGGGTGTGGGGTAGGCTCTGTCAATAGAACTATTCCTAACACAATTAAGGGTGTGGGGTTCTCTGCAGACTCCCCAGGGTGATGGTTCCTGCAATGATTTTAGGAGGAAATTGGCTCCTAACAATCCTCCTACCCCTACCTCTGAGCGTAGAGATTAACAAGCGTGCATCATCACACCCTGCTCCTAACAAGGGAACTGGGTGTACCAGTTGCTGTCTCATTGTTGCAACAAAATATCTGACAAAAGGAACTTAAGCGAGGACGGGATTGATGGCCGACAGTCCCAGGGATACAGCCGGTCATGGTCAGGCAGGACCGAGGCAGGGGCAGGAGGTGGCTCTTCAGATGTCCACACCATACCCATGAGATCTGAGAATGATGAATGCTTGCACTTAACTGACTTTCATTCTTAAAAATTCAGTCCAGACCTCCCAACCCCCATGAGACAGTACTGCTTACACTTCGTATAGGTCTTCCCACCTCTCAAATCTAGACACGCCCAGATATTTGTTTCCATGGTGATTCTAAGTCCCACCAGGTGAATTAGGCAGACAGTTTATGGACCTGAGTGTATCTGGTAACAAGAAGGCTCCAGTTGGTGAGATTTAAACCTGCTAGAAGCTCTTGACTATGAAGGGGATCTCTCTGAGATGCTTCTGTTCACACCAAAGAGGTTCCTCTGGGAGCAGCCTCTCACTTCTACTTTGTCCTGTGTCTCTTGACCTACACTGTCCGATACTGTAAAACATGCTCTGATGTCACAGATTGACACCTTTCTCAAGATGCATTCTTGTCCTTGAGTGCTGACAACTGCAATTGTCACTC